CTAAGAACAACTGATATTTTAAAATTAACGCTGTAATCTGATTAGACAAGCAGTAGGAGAAAAAGTCGTAAAAGTTAAATAGACCTTTTTACCGATACGGCAGCCATATTGAATTGATTGGATTTAAGTAGTATTATAGGATGCCCAGGGGGCATGAGCACATTTCGTTTTTATTTTCAAGCGCTTTCTGCAACATTTTTTCGTAAAGTTTTCTTAGATCCCTGTGCCGCGTTTGGACTTATGGTTGCTTCCATCTAGCGCGTTTAATTATCTCAGGCATTATTCACCAGATGTCCATATATTTTGGTAGTTCGCAAATTTTTCGCAAATTTTCACTGAAAGTAAACTACTGATTCGTTCAACCTTTTGGTCGGTCGACCCAACAGCTAATTAACTCCAATAAAAATAACTCTTGACAGCGGGAGAAACAAACCAATCAAAACCCTTTCCACACACGTCTAGTGTTAGTTTTGATAAGTGAGTCTAGTCTGGCACGTCAGTCTCTCAGGGGTCAACTATCTCGAATGTCTCACACGCCGCGCTGGTAAGAGGCAAACCTACCAAATTTTCTCTTTTAACTTTTCAAGGCGTTTTTCAATTCTCGCAACCTGACATCTAACCTTATTCTTGTTGCGATAATGTTGGCCTCCTTTGCTCTCTTCATAAAAAATTTGTCACACAGTCAATGATTACCATGCCGTCTTCAACCTCAGCAACCTCAGCCATTGTGAAAAATGTGTAAGACCTCGAATTACCGGCACAGGTACACAAATCGAAAAGCCTGGTAAGGTAACTTGAGACGACACATTATCACTGGATGCAACAACAATCATATTGTATATTATCGACCATTAACTGTCACAAAATGACCCACAAATGGTGTAATCATTTTTGCCGTTATGTCTCAAGACTTCTAAATATCACTAAGGGACGGCCCATTAGAAAGTGGGGAGTGAGGTGGGGGGGTGGGGAATTTGCGAGCCGCAGGAATTTTTTTTCGTTATCAAATTCCTTGTATGATTTTTTTATAGGCCTTAGCATAAATATTTTTTAAGGGTTAATTGGCATGTATGGATTTTTTTTCATTTAATTTTCCCTTGCGCAAATATTTTTTTGGTACTTCGTTCCCCCCCCCATAAGTTTTCTAATGGTCTGTCCCTACGGTAGATAAAGAAAAGGAAAAGAAAACTTTTAAAACAAATTGAATTACAGTGACAATGTTCTTTGAAAAATAACATTTGAATCGTACCATTAGAAAAGTGTTGGGGGGAGTTTCTTTTGTTAACATTTCTCTTGTATGAATTTTTTTGGGCCAGAGCATAACTATTTTTAGGTTTTCTTTCTTCTTTCGTGCATGAATTTGTTTTATTTAATTTTCCCTTACACGACTATTTTTTTGGAACTTTGTTTGTCCCCCATAAGTTTTCTAATCCCTCATCACTAACCCTGAAGTTACTAAGTTAGTAGACTATTATCGGGGACTCGCGCAGAGGACTGAGGGTGATTACTACAGGAGTCGGTAATGTCCCATCATCCTGGGGTCCTGATTTTACTTCGAGGTGAAAAAAAAAACACAGTCGGTTGGGTGTCAAGCAGTTCGTTTACCCGGGAATTCAATAGTACGCTGCTCCTAGTATTGAGATCTATTAATCTATTCTATCTTGCATTGAGATCTATTAATAAATCCTGTGTACTTGATCCTCTGCCTGCAGTGGTAATGAAGGAATGTTTCAATTTACTAACTCCTGTGTTGACTAACATAGTGAATACATCTTTATCTACTGGAGTTATGCCTGATGTCTTGAAGATTGCAGCTGTGACACCGACTTTAAAGAAACATAATGCTGATTTCACTAAATATGAAAGTTTTCGACCTATTTCTAATTTGAAGTTTGTGTCCAAGCTTGTGGAAAAAGCGGTATGTGTTCAGCTTACAGATTATATTACATCTAATGGTCTTTCGGAAACGTTTCAATCCGCATACAAGTCATTTCACTCCACTGAAACGGCTCTACTGAGGGTTCAAAAT